TTTAGTGTGCTTTTATTTATTCTCTGAGAATTTAAATAAACATACAATGTATTTCCAGTATATTCCCTCTGTAATCCCAATAAACTTTTTAATCTAAGATAATTCTCTTTAGTGTGCTTTAAATTTTCTTTTCCTGTTCTGGATGGTTGTTTGTTCAGGCTTCATAAAAACCATCTAAACCGATCATTTGCAAATGTATCTGTCTCCCGGCCGATATATATATATATATATATATATAGAGAGAGAGAGAGAGAGAGTCTAATACAAAAAGACACTATATCCTTTTCTAGAGAAGTCAACTGCATTTAATTTTGTAAAAGGCTCCAAGCACAGTAGAACAAGGGTGTTTGAGAGTCAGAGTGAAGAGGCTAGTGACTTACATGAGTGAGAAGAATCTCCAAATCGCTCAACAACACAATGTTGAGGAAGGAATTCATTTGCATATATTATTTAGCCTGCGGTACAGAGCCCTTAAAATTAGGCAAAGAGGTCAAAATCATTAGAGAAAAACAGAAATAAAATATCATTAAACCCATGAAATGATTGTCATTTCTTTTCAAGGCCCGACACTGATTTTTCGAGGGAAAAGAAGGGCACAAATGTGCTATAAAATCACCTTGAAGTTCCTAGCAGGGCATGAGGAGAACTCTTGTACTGGACAGTCTTCTCTCAACTTCTCTGTCGGGTTCCTCTTTTTCTTAGCTATATAATTCTTACTTTCATTCAAAACCACTAGGAAAGTTGTACTGTATTCTTTAGCCAAGTATCATCTATTAATAAATAAATTGGTCTAAACATTCTAAGAATAAAACATCTAATGTAAATGCTGGACTTACAAATTAGCACTGGTCATTACATCTTAGAAGTAAGGTCAGCAACATCTGAAACTCGGACGTAAGACAAAGGCTGTGTGTGTGTGTGTGTGTGTGTGTGTGTGTGTGTGTGTGTTTACGCGATGATCTAATAGGATTTCCCAGGCTGGCAGCGGTGCCCAAGCAGGCTGGCTAGAATTCATACAAATACGAAGATCTTTCATGTCAATCGTTCTTTGTAGCGATTCATAGTATATGGCATATTTTTATTTCAAGCACATTGATAGGACTTCTATTATATAGAACACTGCTTAAAGCGCGATATTTTGTGTTAATTATCTCAATAGGAGACCCCAGAGATACAGTTGTCATGAGTCCTCAGCACACTGGGCGGGGCTTTTTGGTGATACATCTATCTAAGAGGTATCACACCTTGGTAAGCTATCCCTCACCCATGTTCCTACTATGTGACCCCACTAGCTCTCCTAGATCACCAGGATGGACCAAGTAACGGTAGTCTCTCTTTTTTTTTTCTCTTTTTTGGTTTTTCTTTTTTAAATTGTTTTCATTGAATAGCTATTTATTTTTCTCTGTTCCCCTCACTTTTTCCCCTCTCCCCCTCTAACTAAGGGTAGTTTCTTTGACTTATTGATGTTCTATCTGGGGTGAATTGGCACCTGTAGATCTTCCCAGGAAAAGCCACACAGTAACTTGGTAATATTGCTCCATCAAAGCAATGAAGTAAGAAACTAGTGTTTGTTTATACCTAAAACCTGCCAGCGTGATTTAAAATGCAGGTAAGTGATGGAGTGGTGCAGTTAGTTCCTTCATCAACTACCACCTTCAGACAACAACCTATGAAAGGAGACTGTGTGACCTCAGAGACTCTATAATAATACCCATCCCTTCCCCAAGTGCTACCCAGCCAATTGCTTCTTCCCCAAGTGCTACCTGGCCAGAATTAGAAGACCTAGCGAAGCCAGCCACACCAGCCACGGTGCTCAAAGCAGGCTCCAAAATTACAACAGCAGCAGAGTCAGGGGCCTGACTGCTTCTGAAAAGCATTTTCGACTGTCCATCTATCTAACGACAGAGATAGGGCAAGAAGAAAGAATGTCTCACATCTTCACAGACACACCTTCCCAAGGTGGGCAGCTCTCTCTGGCTTACCTTGTATCACAAGGAATAGAACAGGTATATAATATATAATGCCCTTAATTAAGACCACACATCCAGGCACAACATAAGCTGTGTCAAAGCCTCACTAGGAAACTAGGATGTGTCCATATGGGGGTGTCCTGACATCCCTGATTGACAGGACCCTCTTTATGGTTATTTGTATGAGGGACCTTAGATTGTTTTTGTTTTTAACCCTGTCCCTAAGTTTCCATATTCTCGTCCTTGAATGCACAGACCACAGAGGTCTGCTGTGGCTCTGACTTGTGTCACAAAAGATGGTTATGAAAAATGGTTAATATTTCAAAGGACAGTAGTAACTGTCTGAAAAGTCACAACTAAGTAGTAGCAAAGTTTGGGCAGAGAGCTTTAACAAAAATACCTTCATTCCCACATCCTCAAAATAAGCTATCTAATAACGAGAAATAAATCACAGTAACATGCAGACATGGCACAGAGACACAGCCCAAAGCATATGAGCCTACTGCACAGCAGTCTTGAGAAATACAGACAGACTGACAGACTAGAGGGTCCATGGCACCCTGAAGACTATTTACTACAAGGTAACACAAATCGCTTTTACACACGATTTTATAAAATAAATGAAGAGAATCCAGACTTCCAGTAGATGGAATCTGAGTTTGTGCTTTGGGGATTTTGTTTCTGTTTTGTCCTGGAGCCTGAACTTAAGTTCTTGCTCTACTGCTGAGCCACATCCTCAGCCTCCACGCAAACCCACATGTGAACTTTCCTCATGCTCTTTTTCTGAGAATCACCAAGTAAACTGTAATAAACCAAGCCAGACCGGCCACCTGAAGATACTGAAGAATCACTAAGCCCACAGGACTATGCTAAAGGCCCCACGGTAACGGGAGCCCAGCAATCACCCACACATGGAGTTCTTTCCTGGGGACCCGGCTGTGCAATAAGCAGAGCAGCTGGAAGGATACACAGTCGGGTTCTGGATACAGAGAATGACGGTAGTCAAGCCCACACAGCTCAGGGGAGAGGCTGGGAGTTCGGTCTCAATGAAGCTGACGGGGTTGGCAGGGGAAAGGGGTGTCCACGAGCTCATGGGCAGCTCTGAGAGCTTTGCCCTAAGAGACGGGATAAACTGGAGATAGACCCACACTGAGAAAGGGATTGAAGACTGGATTTCGGTCATTTCCAATTCTGGGATTTAAACCATCTGCTCCCAACCCTAATGCCACAAGAAGCAAACACGAGTGCTCTGAAAAATGCAAGATCGTCCAAAGCTTAAAATTATCTTTGTGACTGCACACGTAGTATATGGTTCTTAAGAAGTAAGCATCTGTAAGGACCAAGAACTGACAAAAAAACCCAACAAAACAGCAGACTAGACCCAAGGACCCAGAAGACAGGAGAACCAGATCCCGGATTAATCAAGGAACGGAAATGAAAAGTACTAGTGTGCGTGTGTGTGTGTGTACAGTGTGTACAGTGTGTGCGGTGTGCACAGTGTGTTCGTGTACAGTGTGTACAGTATGTACAGTGTGTACAGTGTGTAGAATGTGGGCAAGGAGCTAGAAACCAAATAAATAAAACCATTGAAATCAGAAGTGGAATTGGCTGAAATAAGTGATAATGATAAAACTCTCCAGGTGTTTGAAAATGAAGCAATGTACTCTGTGATTTCTCAGAGAGGCAGGGAATGATTTGGAGCACATGATAGCAAAAATTCAAAATTCCAAACCTATGGTGTAAGCAAAAGTCATGGGTATTAAGTGACTTTGAGCCTTAATGCAAATATTTGGAAGCAAGAATGGTTAAAGCTCTGGCAATACCCACTGAAAACAGTGGTGGGTTTGTTTTGAGCCACTTGGTAGGCAAGCACTTGGCCAACTAAGCTAGCCCTACTAAAAGATGTGTTCATTCTTTGACATACCAATTCCACTATTGTATCAAAAGAAGTGTAGCCAGGTGACAGTGGCACACACCTTTAATCTCAGCACTCAGGAGGTAGAGGCAGGCATATCTCTGTGAATTTGAGGCCAGCCTGGTCTACAGAGTGAGTTCCAGAATAGCCAGGGTTGTTACACAGAGAACTCCTGTCTTGAAAAACAAACAAGCAAAAGAATGTGTACAAGTATGCACCAAAAGTCTGTAGGATGTATACATAAAGACGTTATTAATGATCAGGAGCTGGAGTAAACAGACTCACCAGTGGTAGAACAGAGAAACCTGCCTGTCAAAGACGTAGCTGTTCAGCTTTAAAAGTGACTGTGAATGAGTCCTGCAATAACGCTGGAAAAACAAATGCCACGGAACCACATACATGGGAGGCATTCTGGTTTTACAATGTTAATGAAAGCATCAGACTCAGAGTGAGCAAGGCGAGCACCGTTTCTAGCGGAGAACGCACTGAGAGTTCATGTGAGAGGGAGCGATGGAGGTGTCTGTGCTGTGGTGATAATCTGCTGCAGGACCGTGCAGTTATTACATATGATGCAGCTTGCTCATGAACAGCCCATGTGATCCCCCAATCAACGATAAACAAGATCGGTATTTAGCAGTTTGATCAAAATAACTGGAGCAATGATCAGGAAATAATCCTTTCGGAGAAGGAATGTCAGACTGACAAGGTAGTTAGTGGAAATTGCAGACACCTTTTAAATGCCAGGGCACCTGATGAAAGAGCAAAACGTCTCAGAAGACCGGGAGGGAAGGTAAATTATGAGGATGCAGGTTTCCCTTGCAAATAATAACTGCTAATAAAAAAGTCAGCAATGGAAACAAAGGATCTCCAGGCTATGACCACACACCTGAAGGTACCCAATCTCATTTGATCTCTGAAGCTAAGCAGGGTCAGGCCCGATGGGAGACAAAAGCCATCCCAGCCATCCTTCAAACAAAGGAGAAAGACCACCCAACAGGGCAGAACAGAGATGTTTCCTTCAGAGGCAAAGATGGGAGGTGATTTCTCATGATTTCTCCATGGCCTGAGTTTCTAAGCACTTGTTCAATCAAAAACCACAATGAGAACAATCTTACCCTTAGTTGCGTGGTGGAGATCTCAGCTTTTAAAATATCAGGATCATATTTAGTGCTGGATGAAGACCCTGAGAAGACTTTTTAAGAGAGGAAAAAAATCATTTATTAATTGCAATAATTGAAGCTTGGAATTTACTTATTTTAAAAGTAAGGTTTATGGGCGAGACCTGGTATTCCAAACTAGGCCCTGTATCCCTTAGATAGGAGGCTGTAGCAGAAAGATGGCAAAAGCAAGTGTTCCTGGGCCAAAGGGCAAGTTCAAGGACAGCTTACACCACTCAGGGAGTGGTCCAGCACAAACCTAGGATGTGTGAGAACTTTCCTGGTCCCTGTAACACACAGGCACACACAGGGCCAAGATGTGTGTTCTTTTGTTCAAACAGCTTTTCCTTTTCTTTTAGGAGATAGGCTCGCACACTTATTTCAAGCCTATTTTCTTTTTTGAAACAGGGTCTTACTATGTAGCCCTGGCCAGCCTCAAAGTTGTAGTGATTCTCCTGCCTCAGCCTTCCAAGTGCAAGAATTATAGGTATGAGCCACCAGGCCTGGCTCTTTAAGCCTTTGCTATATTAAAAAACAAACCAAAACAAAGCCTCGGGATACAAAAATACTGAAAGGAACTTGTTCTGGGTCCTTCAAGAGATCTGCAGTGTAGATCCTTGGGGGAAGGGGGGCTACAATGTAACAGTTCTGAGCCCATCCTAGCTGCTCCTTTAATTCAGGCCAGCTCCAGATGACTGACAGGTGAACACAGGAGAAGGAGGGGACTGAGTTGCAAGTCCCAGTTCCTCTCTAGGAGTAAACGTGACCTTTGCAAGACTCAAATTTGGGCTGCAAAGAGCGCCTGCTGCTCCTGCAGAGGACCTGAGTTCAGTTCCGAGCACCCATGTTGGGCAGCTTGCAACTCTCTGACTCTAGTTCTAGGGGATCAGATGCCTCTGGCCTCCTTTCCTTGTTCTGACAGACAAATTTACGCAAACAAAAGGCAACCCGGCAGAAGCCGATGCCTAAACGGGAAGATTTGTACCTCAAGTGGGGATGGGCGTTTCCCTGAGCAATCTGTCGGGAACCCTCATCTCTCACGGCCTGGAGGATTTTTGCTGAGGAGGGAAAGGGGCTCAGGATTTATCTCCAGAAGTGTGAGTGGCTTTTGTTCCTCTACGATCTCATTTTCAGTTCTGGAGTGTGACCGGCCACCCAGTACTCACGGCTTGTGCGAGAACTTGATTTTTCCTTGTAGGCGTCATTTAAGCGGACATACTCGTCGAGGGCCAGCGCCAGCCTCTGTTCCTTCACGTGGTACAGCTCCTTCTGCGTCCTGAGTGCATCCTGGGCCACAGAGAGGTAGTCCTTGAGCATCCTCTCCTGCTCGCCCCGCCACTGTTTTCTCGGATCTTCGATCTGTGTGGTTTCTGAAAAGACAGTAGGTGGAGTCTGTTTGCGAGACTACTCACCGAGGAACTAGCTAGTTTAAATTCCTATATCCTCTAAAGTGTCTACCAGACACTTCTTTAAAGTGTCTAAAACTTGGATATGGGGTTGTTTTCTTCTATTAACCCCAAACCACCCTTGGCCCTCCAACTGCAGTCCTCGACAGAAATGCATCCTAACTATATGCCCCTCATACAGATGGCACCCATCAATCATCCTTTTGAAAATCCTCTGGGTGCCCAATACCCAGAAAACAAGAGCTAAATTGTCATCAGCATGCAAGGCCTTGGATACTGTGAGCCAAATGGACTTTGGAAGGACCAGACTTCCACTGACTTAACACAGGCCTCCTGCCCTCTCACCCAGTGCTACCCCTGGCTCGGTCCATGGACCATCACTGTCTCTCAAATTCATTTTCATACCCACAAAAATCAAGAGAACATTGAAGTATTCATAGCCATTTTATTCAGTTATACATCTATTGAATTTATAAATATTGGAGCTTATATTTCTTTATGGGCATTTTATTTTTCTATTTTTTAATCAATAAAAATTCATTTTTATTTTATAAAAAATATCAATCACGCTGTGGTAGATGAGCAAGTTTAAAACAATTAAAAACCAAAGCCACCTTGCTCTTACTTTAAGGAGAAAGTCCGTTCATGACTGAAAAGTCTCCAAACCGATGATAACCTCTGCCAGTGAAAGATAAGGGCCCTGGGATGGCTCACCCTAGCTATTTTATTTTATAATAAATGCATCTGCCACACACTGCTGTCTTACTTGGGGTAAATGGTGGCTACAAGGCAAAGTGCAGGGTCTGTGACTCTGCAAGGACGCTAGTGCAGTTGGCTAAGAGACACTTGTGCGAAGTCACAAAATAATGCACACTTCGGCCAGAGCGCAGTATTTACTCGCTCGAGAATACCTGCCCGCAGACACTCATTAGCGGCTCTATTCACGGCACACAAAGACCACCCATTGCAGTATGTAAAATGTAGTTTATCTGTACAGAAAACACTATGCAGAAATAAAAAGAGATACAGACAATATGTATGTATGTATCAAATCCCAGGCAGCAGTTATTGCATAACCCACTTATACGAAATCCTGGTCAAAGACAAATCAAATCCAAACAGAAAAGGGATCAATGACTACCTGAGAAGTACTTGCTACAGTGGAGGCCAAATGTCCTTTCTGAGGGCACAGAAACACTCCATATCTTGGTTATTACAAAGGTTATGTGGTATATATCCGTCAAAACTCATGAACTTAAAATGGATGCAACTCATTGTATGGTACACCTGCATAGAGTCAGTCTAAGGGGTTCAGAATGTAGCTCACTGGTAGAGTGCCTAACACACACACACAATCCCTCCTCCCCCAGTAGTGCAAAAGAAAAAGCTACATTAAACAAATAAAATTTAAAGTTGATCACTTTTAAGAACTCAGATGAATGACTAGCATGTTACGGAGATGTGGGGCTAGAAAAATGGCCCAGTGGTTTAGAACACTTGTTGCATTTGCAAAGGACCTGGGTTCAATTCCCAGCACCCATATTGTAGCTCACAACCATCTGTAACTCCAGTTCTGTGGATCTGACACCCTCTTTTGACCTGGGTACCAGGCATGCACATGGTGTACACGCACAGACATATACACACGTGGTACACGTGCACAGACATATGCACACATGATTCATGTACACATACATATACACGTGTGGTGCACGTACACAGACATACACACATGCTGCACATGCACAGACATATATACCCGTGATTCATGTACACAGACATATACACATGTGCAGGGAAGGCTGGGTCCTCTTGGGGCTAAGCGAGGCCCTTGGTGACTCACAAAAGTGTCTAGTTTGGTAGGACACTGTAACCACTGTCTCACACCTACAGTCCTGGCTTCACAGTCACTGGCTTATAAAAGCCGAGCTTTCTCCAAGGCACGATTTCTGAAATACTCATTTCAAAACTATGAATATTTTAATACACAAAAGGCGAACATCTCATGTAATTATTGGGAGTAAATACGTGCTACAGCCACTGTCTCGACAGATGCCCTGAACGAGCAGACCCTCCACGTCAGAATCTTCAAGGACAAGACAATGTGGAGCAGCCATCTGGGGAATATGGCAGATACACAGAGATCACCGAAGAAGAGCCTAACGCGTCAGCCGGATATTTATGCACTGGCTGTAACGCGGCCTCTAATATCCTAATGGTGTTTAGATTAATTTCCAGTATTCACACACATAGGGTTGTACTCTGCCTCAGAGTACAGAAAGCATCACGTGACAGATAGGAATTTACGGTCCCAATGTTTGCATCAGGCTGGAGAGGGGACAGCACTGGGCTCCCTTTCTTTCTCCACCCTACCCGTTCCACCACAAGGGAGCCAGCTGCCATGGCGTGGGTGCCCAGTGACAAGCTCAGTCTGAAAGGGTGAGAAGGCCTGTGGCCAGCAGCAGAAAAGAATACTGCCAAGACCCACAGCCTGAATTTCCAGCAGTCTTCTCCAGCAGAGCCTGGGATAAGTGCAGCCTGACCCTGGCTACGAGTTAATAAAAGCTGTGGCCAGGACTGCTTCAAGATCCAAAGAAACTATACGATAACGAATATTAGTAATTTGTCACGATGAGATAAGTAACCATTAAACCAATGAAGTGAAGAGGTGCAAAGACTTGGATGTTTTTAGTTAGAAACGTAAGCAGACAGCCCTCAGGTCCAGCCAGTCATATGCGCCCTCATGTTTGGGAACGGGCACACTTAAATACATATTTGTCAATAGCTAAGAGGCAGAATCTGCTACAGCATTAACACTCAAATTAATGAATTAAAACAACACTAAAGATGAAGATAATAACTGTGTTTTGGATGAGGCTGAAGAAACACGAGAAGACTGACTGGGATTTGTTACAACAGAAGCAGGAAACATTTATATTTCCGAAATATTGCACAATTCAAACATGAACCACAAAGAGAACTCCCAAAGGCATCTTTGAAGGTTTCATAAAGCAGGGCTAGGCTCATCTCCATCTCTTATATTTGCTGAGTAGATTTGAAAAGAATATTTATTAAATGTAAACACACAAGAAGAGTGTTTTACAAATGTGGTATTTTCTTTTTTTATTAAGACCTTCTGGCCTTGGGAGACCACTATATCACAACGCAATGTAATTTGCATGCTGTCTGCTATATTAAAGAAGTAATCTATTACACACTTTAAACATTACACATCTCAAGAGAATTCACATCCCATCAGTTTCATCGACGTGGGACTCTACAGACAGGGAACACAAAAGCTTATCATGGAAGACGACATCGCACTTCAGAGAATCGCGATTCTGCCTATAATGCAGATTTCCATTCTTCCTGCTGTGCTCAGAGGAATGAATGAAATAAATATGAACAACTTTTCTCATCGGCCTTTTTATACGGTGTCTGCACAATTTTCTTGTTGCCCATTTCTTCCACGTACAATTATTAAGCACCTACTGGATTCATTAGACAGAATAAGATGCTGGAGGAAATCACAGTGCACAAATGTAGACTAGAATAACTGTCTTTAAAGAGGGATGGTTGAGAATACAGCAATTTAGAGCATTTGGGCTTCTTCTGATGGAAAGTCTGATGCCAGGGAATCCAGCTATAATTAAATAAGAGACCAAGAAATTCCAGCCATCTACCTAGCCTCAGAGCTCTTCTCCAGTAATGACAATGGCCCCGACAGTTCCTTCATTATCTCACCAAGCCCTGCGATCTCCAGCTTCTTCTTCCTCCTTCCATCCCCTACTAAACTCCACCACAGGCGCTCTCTTTCCAGCTGACACAACCAACCCTAGAGGATGAGCCGGAGCTTTCTGCAGGTGGCACAGGGACACTTCAGCAGGGAGGGACTTCCACCTGACCCCTGCTCTCAGGGCGACCTCCACCCTTCCTTCTCCTCACACCTCCTAAGCCACAGTGAGCCACAGAAGAATCTGTGCAAACCCATGCAAGGATCTTAACTACATTTTAGACCACTTGACAGAAATGCGAGGTTCTCCTGCCAAAGGGCAACCCCTTTGATATGACAGCATCAAAGCCTTTTGTAGTGAAATTTTCATATTACATGAAAGAAAGAAATTTAGAAAATGTGCCGGGTAGTGATGGCGCACGCCTTTAATCCCAGTACTCGTGAGGCAGAGGCAAGCGGATCTCTATGAGTTCAAGCCCAGCCTGATCTACAAGAGTTAGTGCCAGAACAGCTAAGACTGTTGCAGAGAAACCTGGTCTCGAACACCCCCCCCCCCAAAAAAAAGAAAAGAAATTTAGAAAAGACTATAATTGTACTTAAAAGCAAAGCATAACATAATTAATAACATAATAATTTTTAAACTGTAAGTATGAACACGTTTTGCTATAGGAAAAGGACTGAGAAGATGCACATCTGAGAATCAGGAAATCATTTAGCATAGGCCTTCTGAACACGGGGCTTTCCCTTATCCCCATTTCTGTTTTTCTGCACACTACTTTTGCAAATCTATAGTAAGGCTGCCATGGCTGAGCTGGGAAAACAGAGAAGGAAAGAAAGCAAAGGCACAAGTGAGAAAAAGCATCTTGAGGACAGATGAGAGGACTCTGGATTATTTTCCATTTAGTCTTCATAAGGGCCCAAATGTGTGTGATAATACAAGAAGGTAAAAAAATATTTTTAAAAGACCTTGAAGACAACACTGGTTACAAGTTTCTCACAGGTAAAGTCTAACCAATGAAGACCATCAGGAGGAAACAGACGAGAGGGACCTTTGACAGTAATTGCAAAGGAAAACATCATGACAGGTAAAAAGGAACACAGTAAGGGGAAAAAGGAGGAGGTCACAACTTTGGGAAGGACAGTTTACGCATCTTCAAAATAATACATACGTCAAACAAATGAGAGTAAGAATACAAAGTTGAACAAAAATCTGAAAGTTCAGAAGGTGGAA